GAAGATATGCAGAGTACCTACACTTGACAATATCGCTGACCCATTAACAAAGCCTCTTGCGCAACAGAAGCATGATGGTCATACTAGATCTATGGGTATTAAGGGTATGCCTAATTGGCTCTAGTGCTAGTGGGAGATTGTTGGTGTAAGCCCTAGAGGCCAATACTTTTTGGTACTTGTATCGGATTATTCGTTTAATAATAAAAGGCATTTCTTTATTATGTTTGTCTTTCAGAATAATAAAGTCCCTAGAATAGTTAGTCTGTTTAATGAAATGTTAAGTGTGACTTAATCATGAGATCCCATTAAACATAAAGACATTATTCTTAAAATATCCGTAGTCAAGCTTTATTGCAAAGTGGGATAACATTAAAAGCATTGAGACTATTATGAAGATAGACTGATGATCACATCTCATGGATCATGGATAAAGAGTTATCAAGTCTTGACATAGGTATAAATATTAGGAGTAATATTTATACCGGATTGACCCGCTATGAGAATACTACATAGTATGTTATGCAAAGTGTCATAAGTTATTCTCATGGTGATAATGGTGTATTACCACCCTTCGACCTGAAACCACTATGGACCCTAGATGTAGAGTCGGGTGCTTTATTGCTGATCAAACATTATCCGTAACTGGATGATCATAAAGACAGTTGATGGGCACTCCACGAAGCATGCTGAGGGACATGAGTGTCCTAGATGGAATTTGCCAATCCTGCATAACAGGAGAAATGTCTAAGGGCTCAATATTGAACTGGACAAGGATGACACAGTGTATGCCTTGTGTTCAATATAGACATAGGGGCAAAAGGGTAATTGTACAAACATATATTATCACGAAAAAGGTTTTGTCAGATCACATGACATTTTCGTGACTTGGGTAGCAGTGATGTGTTGCTAGATACCGCTTACTGTTTATTATGTTAAATATATACTTTAATATCATTACCAACGTTACGAAATCCTACAGGGTCACACACATAAGGACAATTTGATGAGAGATAGAGAAATCAAAGGAACACCGTAAGGTACGGTGCACTTAAGTGAAAAATAGAAATTCGGATAATATTATAATAATTATTGTTATTTTATAATGGTTATAAAATAATAATAAAATAAATATATTTATTATAATAATAGTTATTATAATAATATATAATATTATTATGGATCATGTGAATTGAGTTTTTAGCCCGCAGCCCACAAGAGAGTCTATAAAAGGAACCCTTGTGATGAAGCTTTCACTTGATGCAATTTCGTTTTTGATTCTCTTTTCTCACTCAAATAATTCCGTTCGTAAGCAGCTAGCACTGTGACCGGAAGCTGTTCGTGTGGACTGAGTAGAGGCGTTGCACTTCATCAACGCTTGTGATCGCTGCATCAAAGATCTGAATCGCCACAAAGAGGTAACGATTCTATCACTGACCATGCTCATTCGTAAGGATCACTAAAGGAAATTTTTGTTTTCCGCTGCGTTTAGATCGCAATTTTCCATCAAGCATCGAGTATGAGAAAATACTCAAAACTCGGTGCTATATTATGATTTTATTCGGGCACTTTTTATTTCCAGATGGCACTGGAAATACCGTCCATACTATGTATTTACCATTATTGGGGAATATTAACAAAGTGTGCGAATATAGATGGGGATCAGCTGTCCTCGCCCATCTGTATAGCGCACTTTGTAAAACTTCAAAAAAAAATTCCTGTACTTTTTATGGTTGTGCTTATCTTCTGCAAGCGTGGGGTTGGTTTAGGATGCTAATGCTTGCTCCAATAAACAGGAATTCTTTTACGTTCTCGTACGCCAACAAGTAAGTATCTTTTCAAGATTATTTAGCAACTACATATTTTTTTTCAGTTAATAATTTCTGAGATGTGTTTATTTTTTTAGGTGGTCTGTTCCAGGGATGAATTATCAGAGATGTCCAAGGCACTCTATAATTCAATACCGCAATCTAATCGACCACCTTGGGCCAGATGATGTAAGTTATTTACCATTAATTTTTTTTTTAATGTATATGCATAAACCTCTCAAACTCTGTCTAACTTAATTGTCCAACTTTATTGTAGTTTGTCTGGATGCCATACGAGGGTCTCGACCACGAGCCCAACCCCGACGATGTCGTTGTGTGGACATCAAAGACACCCATCATTAGGTTCACTACGGTGGAGATGCACCAAAGTGACCGGGTGAAACTACAATTTGGGATGCATCCGGATATTCCAGATGCTCCAGTAGACTTGGGGCAGTGGCATCAAAAGCGGGTAGACGCACAGTGAAGTGTCAGTGATTGGAAGGAGTTTGCGAAGGAGTTGCGTATACACTGGAAAAGAAGAAGGCAATACGTCTTAACCGATCGTATTGTGCACGGGGCTAGGCCAAGTCTTCAATATATGACTTGGTTTAGGTCTGTCACGACATCTCAGCCTTTCCTGTCTCAGCCAACCTATTTGGTCGAACCAAGGGAACGCGATTCTTCGTCAAACCCACAACAACAGTTCAGTGCCCAAAACCAGCCTTACGAAAACCCAAACATGCCAACAAATACCCCCTATCAACAACGACAACCTTACATGCCACCCACCCAATCCCAGCCTCAACCACCTTGCCATTACAGCCCTGATACGTCTTTTGAGTCTACCCCCTCCACCTATAGCACAGACCACTCATTTGACCCTACCCCCTTCAACTACCCCCCAACTATCCACTATTTGACTACCACACCCAACAACAACCAACATACCTAGACCAATCCAATTCCATGTACACATTCGGACAACCGTACCGTCCATACTCCACCCAACCTCCCCGACAATCCTTCGAAAACATGGGCATTGGGTTTGACTATGGAAGCGCCGCTAACAATGGACCTCCCAACTATTGGGGTCAAATGATGCAAACTCTATCTGATACGTCGGGGTCGTTCCAACCATACCCTCCTCCACAACTCAACACACAGAGACCAGACACACCACAACAACCTCGTCGCAACACGCGTCCCCCACAATGTGGCACCGGTGGTCACTTGGATAGAGCGGTCATTAGTTTTTTTTCTTTTGTTCAATTGTAATCGTACTTTTCATTAGATTCTAAATTAATATAATTTATTATTTCTATATTTTATTTTAACATTCTTATATTTAATTTTTTCTTAATGTTATTTAAATTTCAATTAATTATTTTAAGTTTATTAATTCGAAAATTAATTTTATCATTTAAACCTAATTTTTTAAAGTTTATTAATAATAATTATGTTTAAAAAAATAATAATAATTAAAAATATAAAAACATATAGATATTAAAAAATATAAAAATATATAGATAGTAATAAACAAATTTAAAAAATAAAACCGAAACTCTAGTCATTTTGAAATTTTTTTTAAATTATTAATTATTGTGGTAATTTATATTCAATATACGATTATTATAAAAAAAATTCTAAAAAATCACTCATAACTTAAACTAATCAATTTCATACTTTAATAACCCTTTAATTTTTTTCCGTATACAATATAATTTTCTTTCTTCTTCAAAATTAAAATCAATAACAATAAAACTTGTAACAAATTCAATAAAACAAAAGAAAAATATTAACGCGAGGGTTTCGGTTTTCCACAAAAAGAATAAACCGAAACGTCCCTTTCACCCACCTTCACAAAATTTCCACTTCCACAAATTATTATATTTAAACAAAGTCAAAATCGCCCTCTATGAATCAAATATATTGACACGCTAACAAGGACAATACTGTAATATCAAAAATAATATTCAGAAATTCGTATATAAATAAATTCATTATTATTAACTAGGGTTCATAATTCTTATTCATTCGCATCTCTCATAAAAGCTTCATTCTTCATTATTATAATTAATAATGGTCATCACATTTACGTGATAACGACGCTTTTCATCTTCTCAGTAAGTACTTTCTTTTTCACACATAAATATTATATTTTATTCAATTAATTATTATTATTATTATTATTTTCTTGTCTTTTTCTTCTTTTTGTATATCAAAACAAAATCCATCGTTCATGATATCTCTGGATTATCAATTATCTTCGTTGTCACATTCTTTTTTATGTAACCACACATTAATTTTATACATTAAAATGAGATATGAATATTGAATTAGTTGTTTGAAGAAAAAAAAAGTGAAATTTTTGGTAACCCCACAAATGGTTTTTACCCTGAAACAGTGTCAGATTTTTATATAATATAGTTTTGACTTTGATTTTATATGTGTATTGTCAGAGATTATAGGGTATATAGTGTATAGGTTTTGAACAGTGTTTTGGTTTTGGGGTATAGAAAAACTAGAATTGAAAGTGACGACTTTGAAGTGTTTGTGCTTTGGTCTGTGTGAATGTGTCTTTATTACAGTAGCGTAAAAGGGTCTTTCCTTTTGCTGTTTTTACTGTTTTTTGTTTCAAAGGTTTGATGGGTTCATGCTCTTGTGTTATGTTGCATTATATTACATCCTCGGTAATCTGGAAAGAATTCATGGCTTTGTTGTTGTTACAGCTTTTTTGTGTACCTTTTTCTTGGGGTTTGTATCTATACTATATGCTATCCTTCTTCTTACTGATAGTTATTTCATCAGAGCTTTCAAGGTTCTTTCAGTTCTGGATTTTCTGATGCATGGTGATTTCATTGGTTGTTCTTTCTTTTTTCTGTTTTGTTGTCTTCAAGGTAGATGAGATTAAGATTAGATTAGATTAGATGAGATGAGATGAGACAGTTTCTCTCTTCTTATCCTTAAAAACTTGTCTGTTTCTTTTTTCTTTTTTGTCTGCATGTATGGATAGTAGGTAGCTTAGCCATTACATTTCTATTTCTCATTAATGTTTTTGCTTTTTTCCTATCTACAAATACTACTAGATGGTTTTCATCTTCATGTTTTTATGGTTTTTTTATTTGGTTTACCTTGTTTTGTTGATGGTGGTGCAGAAAAATATTGAAGGCTGAAGAATATATTGCGTTGTGAATGGCATCGACATCTTGTGTTATGAAGAGTCCATTAGCTATGAAAGAGACTGGTTCAAGCTGTGGTCAATATCCTCCTCCTATGGCAACGTATGAAGAGGTTGTGGACAATCCTAAGCTCTTTTTGCATAGCTTGGAGAAGCTCCATGCTACAATGGGCACCAAGTTCATGTATGTTTCTTGCATCGTGGTGTTTGGTTTTCTGTATATGTTTTGATAAGTGATGCATCATGCATTTGTTGCTTATCTATTTAATCAAGTTGTCATTATTTGGTTTTGACATTGTGTTTATAATGAGGGAGGACATTCTAATGTTACAGTGTCTGCAAATGGTTTCATGTTGTGGATCTAAATGGTTTTCTTGTCTTCTAGTTTTGCATTTTTGGAAATATTAAACACTATTAATGCCTTTCAATTGCATAACTTTGTAATAACTACATAAAAACTTGGAATTTTATTTCAGGGTTCCCATTATTGGGGGAAAGGAGTTAGATTTACACCGCCTCTTTGTTGAAGTGACTTCTCGTGGAGGGATTGAAAAAGTAAGATGTTATTATAATTTCGATTTTGGTTGGTATGGATTTTTATGTCTTATAATCTATGAAACATGGACACCAACACCAAGTGAACAAATAGACACCAATATTGTCAACACATTGCTCTATTTTGAAATTTAATATCATATATTCATCATGGCATCTTAATTGTAAATCCTAATTGATTGCAAGATCTTGCCTTGATTGGTAATATACTTGAATTGAATCTTATGATATCTTGTAAAATTCTTTGAATATTTTGTACTATTCGTTTAAATTATAACTTTGGTTTTTCCTCTATGTAGTGATATAGTGATCTTATCATGTTAATATTTCTTGCAGATCATTAAAGATAGAAAATGGAAAGATATAACTTTAGTTTTCAATTTTCCATCAACGGCAACAAATGCTTCTTTTGTGCTGCGGAAGTACTATACTTCATTACTCTACCATTATGAGCAAATCTATTATTTTAAAGCTCATAACTGGACCCATGCAGCTTCCGGTATGTTCATTGGAACCAAAATGCTGTTTGTACTAACATCAGGGCCCATTCTAATATGTAAATTGTTAATTTCTCTATGGCAGATGTTTTGCAGAGTCCATCATTCACCCCAGTTTCTGCTCCTAAGATACAGTTTTCGCATCCTTCATCTGAAATTCAACCAGCTGTCGTTCAACCATTAAATGTCAATGCTGCTGGACTGCCTGAAGGTCTTTTCATTTTTCTCTCCACCCAAAATAAGATTAATTTCTAACCTCAAAGAAAAAGGAAAATATAGTGTCGTTAAGATTATGTGAAATTTTAGGCTTTGTTTAACTATAAATTGATGGAAAGGGATAGAATGAAGTGAAATTTCTCTGTTAACCTTTCGATTTGATCTGTTTTAGTAATGCAACATCTATAACTTCTCTGGTGTTATTGATAACTTAATAACCAGCATTGTTTATTCTCTTGTGCTCTCTCAGCAATGGCATCATCTTCGGCAGGGTCTCATGTTGTTGGGGTCATTGATGGAAAATTTGAAAGTGGATATCTAGTTACTGTCAGAATCGGTTCGGAGAAACTCAAGGGTGTACTTTATCAAGCTCCACAAAATACTGTGTTGCCAGCACCGCCAGTACCCGGCCACAGTGCTTCGGTTAATAACAATAACGCGGGAGTCCATCGTCGCCGGCGTAGGAAGAAATCAGAAATGAAGAAGAGAGATCCTGCTCACCCAAAACCAAACAGAAGTGGATACAATTTCTTCTTTGCAGAACAACACGCTAGGCTAAAACCTCTTAACCAAGGGAGGGACCGAGAGATCAGCAGGACCATCGGTGAACTCTGGAACAAGTTAAATGAATCTGAAAAAGCAGTAAGGAATTTGTTTATCTTACATCATGGAATAAACCATTAAATGTTATTCTCTCTTCAATATAGTTATTAGGGACTTAGTTGGTTATTGATTCCATAATTGCCACTGTTTTGTTATTATGTTAACATGTTAAGTTGCACTGACATGTAAGGTTTATCAAGAACAAGCCATGAAGGACAAAGAGAGGTACAAAACAGAAATGGAGTCTTACCGCGAGAAGTTGAAGATGGATCAGGATCAAGTGATTAGTGATGCGGTGCCACTTCAACAGCGACATCCTGAAGCCGATACGGACATGAAATTTGATGAAGCTGAGGCAGATTCTCTTCAAACACCGGAGGAGAGCAGTTCGGTGGGAAGCGAGTATGAAGATGATAAAGGCATGGAGAAAGATTTTAGTGTGGATGCATATCCTGTTATAGGAATTGGAGCTGAGGATATGGATTCAGTAGAGAAATCATCCCAGGGGGGTTTATGAGTATCTTTATTAGGTTCTTAGAAGAAGACTGGGGAAGTTATCTGGCACTAAGGTAGCACATAAGATAGATTTTTTCTTCAGAGTATTTTTATATGTTTCATTGTATTGGAGACTTTGAGGTGGGATGAAATTGCAGTGATTACCTGCATACTGATTATCAGTGTTTGGTCATTTTATTATTCAATTTAAGGTATTCGTTTTGGTTTAATATTTATTTTAGCATATTACCAGTTAAATATTCTTAAGTGGAGAAACAAATAATCTTTATAAAATTCATCTAATTATCAATTTTTAGTAGAAATTGATTCTTGCAAGATGAGAAGAGACAAATAACACGGTAAAGAAAAGTCTTCATGAATGATCTGTATATATGACACTTATTATTTTGTTTAAATAACTTCAATTTTGAATTGAATTTTGTCTCCTGCTCTAAAGCATATTAGATTCACAAGAATCTTCTCATTCGTATGCCAATTTTGTTTTTCAAGGGTCTCCGATATTTAATATAGTAAGCAATTTTTCTTTATCAGATACTGTTTTTCAATTTTTCTCCGATAAATAGAGATGAGCTCTATTTCATTTGTAACTGAGTGATCATCAAGTGTAAGAAAGCATTGTGTAGATTCTAAATCACATTTATGATTAACACACATTATCAAACACTTAGAGTGCATTTTACACAACAACAAACATTCTTCTTCTTCCTCTAGAATCTTCTATTTTCTCTCAATTTCAATTGCATCGTTTTTTATTTCAATTCTCAATGTAGTGTAAAATCATCTTGTAACCAATGAGTGGTTGTTTCACTTGAGTAAAAGGGGAATAATAAAAGGTGTAATCAATTAGTGAAATTGATTCTTATTCATCAAGATTGATCCAGTTAACATAAAGATTGGAGTTTTCCAACATTTGGTATCTAGAGCCCTGATTGCGTGATCTTTGGGACACATTGAATCACGATGAATCATCCGAACAAGCATTTTTCGGCAAATCTTTCAATCTTGAATGGTAAGAATTATGAAAATTGGTGTAAGCAGATGAAGGTTGTTTTCTGTTATCAAAATCTTTGGGATCTTGTGAAGAATGGAGTAACACAATTGGAGAGAATGTTACGGATGAACAAAAGGCTGAACATAAATATTTTAAGAAGAAATATTACAAGACTCTCTTTATAATCCATCAATGTGTTGATCCAGACAACCTTGAGAAAGTTAGTGATGTAGAGTCAGCAAAGAAAGCATGGGACATCTTGGAAAAATTATTTGGACGCACTGAGAAAGTGAGTGAGGCGAGGTTACAAACTCATAAAAGAATGTATGAATTGATTTAGAGGGAAGAAAATGAAAGTGTGCTGATTTCTTCACCAGAGTAACAAAAATGGTGAATTAAATCAAGACGTGTGGAAAAATGTTGACATCAAAATCTGTAGTGTCAAAATTTTTAAGTTCATTGGCTCCAAAGTTCGACCATGTGGTGGTAGCCTTTGAAGAATCAAAGGATATGTCAAGTATGACACAAGAATAGTTTCAAGGGACACTTGAATCTCATGAACAAAGGATGACTGAAAGAACTGCAAACAAGTCGAAGACTAACGTGGCTTTGCAAGCTTAGTTGAATGGTAACAAGGGCATAGGAAGTTACAGCAATTTGACAGGTATAGGAAACCATCAAAAAGGTAGTTCGTCGAATTAGAGACAATCTTCTAGTCAAGGCAATCACAGAGGTGGCAGTGCAAGTAGAGAAATATACGATGGAAGAAAACCTGATAAAAGTCATCTGCAGTGCTACAATTGTCAAAAGTATGACTATTATGCAAGTCAATGTCAAAGAGGCAAGAAATATCAAGAAAGTGATGCAAAGCTTGCAAAAGATGAAGTCATGCTAATGGTCACAACAAAAGAAGAAGAAAGATTCAAATATCAATGGTATCTCGACTCAGGCTGTTCATCGCACATGTCTGGAAGAAAAGATTAGTTTATCAACACCAGTCCCTTGTCGAAGAACAAGGTAAAATTTGCAAACAACAATAATCTATTTGCTAAAGGTATTGGTGATGTTCTAATCATGAGAAAGGATGGTAAATGATCAGTAATTTTCAATATGTTGTACATAACTGGCATGAAGAGTAATTTGCTAAGTATATGTCAGCTAATCAAAAGGAATTACAAAGTATTGATTAAAGATAGAATGATGAGAGTGATCGACTCAAGAAATAGATTAATCTTAAAGGCTCTTATGTCTCTAAATAAAACCTTCAGGATTAAACTTGATATGTTGGAACATAAGTGCCTAGAGACTACATCTATAAGAGATGAATGACTATGGCATTATATACTTGGTCACTTGAATTTAAATGAAATTAGTAATCATGAAGGCTCCTATGTCTCAAAATATCTCCTTGTGGTTCGATATCTTTTATAGTACTTCGCATTGTCGTGCACTTGCGAACTTTATTAAGATGCAAGGATACTAAGCTAGTGTTTGATACCACTACAAAGGTCACGACACTCAACAAAGAATAAATATCAAGCCTTGTCTTTAGAAGTATTCAAGCAAGTGTCTATATCATTGGATAACTCGACAAGTATTCAGGCTTCAAAGTATGAAAGAGAGGAAGTATGAGAGCTTGCCCTATCACATATGAGTGAACAACATATTGTAAATGTTGTACACAAGCGTGATTTGGAAGTCTTACATTGATTAGAAAAATGAAGGTTGAGCACTTTATAAGTGAGATGACCCATACACCTATTGCCTTAAGGTTTGGGGTCAATATATGGTATCTCTCTCACTTGTGTGTTACTCTTAACCCAATTTGGATCCTCTGTATGGTAATCTAGCAGTGGTAATAGAGCCAATGGTTCAATTAAGAGGTCGACTCCTTGTATCGAAAGTCTTCTTGACAAGGTGGTGGTTAGACGACGTGTCTCATTGTAGTTCCTAAACGATAGTACAATTGTATGTTAATGAAAGAGCTTCCGCTCGAGGGGGAACATAGTGGATGGAATCACACATGAGTGAGAGATTGTTGTGTACAAGTGTGATTTGGAAGTCCCGCATTAATTAGAAAAATGGAGGTTGAGCACTTTATAAGTGAGAGGACTCATACACCTATTGTCGTAAGGTTATTGGTGAATATGTAGTGTCCCTCTCACTTGTGTGTTGCTCTTAACCCAATATAGATGCTCCTCAAGATGACCCAACAGTAAAAGCATAAAGACTTTTTCGTAAAGTTATAAAGCTAAATCGCACACACAAAAACAAGTTTTTAAACCCATTTTCTTAAAGAATTATTCCTAGAAATGTTTTTAAAACGTGCCAGTTGAATCAGGAACCATTTGAATATTTCCTGACAAAATTTACATTGTCCAACCGATTGACACTTATACCCAATCGATTGGGTTAGTGAAAAAATGGTCCTCAAACTTTTAGGATAATGTCTTAATGAGCGACAATGAGTAAATATATAAATTTTCCCTTTTAAAATAGCCTAAACGTTTATTTTTAGGCCTTTAAATCGGTTGGTACATGATGTAAATCGATTGGCAAATTAAATTTTGCCCAAAAACTTTTTTTTGTCAATATCTAGCCTTTAAATAGAGGTCATTTTTTTCATTTTTTCACATCCAAAAACATGAGCATTATACATCACTCCTTATTCTCTCTCTAAATTTTTTTCTTTACTTTCTCTAACTTGAATATGTGGAAGCATGTTTTGTAGGTTTAGTAATTAAATAAGCTTTCTTGAAGGATGGGTATGCTTTTGATGATGTCAACTAGTCTTTGATGATAACAATTAAAGTGCAAGCATAACAAACGGTTAAAGATGCAAGAATACAGAGTTAGGGTTTAATGATCAGTGCAAAGATCCTCTGATGGTGCCATTGAACTATAATAAATTTCAAGCCTCATCTCCAAAAAGAATTCAAGTAAGTGTTTGTAAGACTGATTTATCTGACAAGTCTTGAAGCTTAAAAGTATGAAAGTGAGGAAGTGTGAAAACTCGCCAAGTCGCGCTTGAGTGATCCGAGTGCTGTAAGAACACAAGAACTTTTTGGTAAATTTATAAAACTAATCACACACACATACACACACACACACGAAGACAAGTTTTAAAACTTATTTTTTCTTAAGAAAATATTTCTAAAAATATTTTGAAGTCGTGCTTGTTGAATTGGGAGCTGTCAGAAAAGTTCTGGACAATTTTTTTATACTGGCCAATCGATTGACACTTATACACAATCGATTATGTTAGTGCAAAAATGCGTTCTAAACGTTTAAGACAATGTATTAATGAACGATAACTGCTCTATTTCTTTTTTTCCTTTTAAAACCTTATAAACGTTTATTTTTAGGTTAACCAATTGATTAGAGCATGATGTCAATCGATTGCCTCATTAAATTTGGTCCAATTTTTTTTTCTTTTTTATGTCAACCTCTAGCATATAAATAAAGGTTTTCGCCTCATATTACATCCATAATCGTGAGCTTTCATATCTCACTCCTCACTCTTTCTTTAAAATATTTTCTCTGTTTCTCTCACATAGAAATTAATTGCAGTGCTTTTGAGAAAAATATTTTCTTTAGTGAGAATTTTTCTATTTTGGAAGGGTATAATTGTAAATTCACTAAGGATTATTATTTTAGTTGAATATCTTATCCATTATGGATTGTTTGTTTAAGTTCGAAGCTAACCCCATAAAAACTTTGTAAGTTCAAATTGGTTCATGGTCATCCTACTAAAAACCCTGGTTCGATTTGTAAGCTCAGCCCGATTAAAAACTTGTTAAGGTTCGAGATAATCTCGGTATAAAATCTCATATTGGTTCGTGGTCAGACTAGTCAAAACCCCGTTCCGGTTTGTGAGTTTAACCTTGTACAAATAATCACTTTTGGTTTGAGATAAGCTTGTGGAAAATCTCGGTTTAGCTTGGGCACTAACTGCTTCAAATTTCTATTTGGAAGGAAGACTAATCACTTATCTTCGGTGTTCATTGTTT